TTGAAGGTCTGATAAAGGATTGCAACGACTAAGACGATGAGACTTCTGGTGCACCGTTTAAATCTTTTTTTTGACGGCTGGAAGAACAATCTCGACAGTTTGAGCAAGTCATTAGCCGAGAGATGAGGGGCTTACGTGCTCCACAAGACATAGCGAATGAGAGCCACATATTGACCAACAAGTTGCTCGAGACTCTAGTTAACAAAGTTCACGAGAGTGGGCTCATCGATCAACAGAGACAAAACATCTCGTTAAAGAAAAATACTCCCTTAGGAGGGGAAAGGTTGCTGCTAGTGCATGCCGACGTAGAATTCAATCGGCTCAGGATGATTGTTCTTGAAAAACTATACAGTGAAACAAGCACCAGTTGGACCGAATTTGGCCGAATAACAGAAACGACATTTGTTGATATGGGTGAAGTCCAGAGAATGATCGATTCAGCTTTGAAGAAAGGGCCAAAAGTTTCAAAATTTATCCAGGATTAATTACGAAATTAATTGCAAGATATTATTTGACATAATATCTTGCAATAATATTCAAAACACCACCATAAGTGGCCGGTCCCTATTTCTCCAAGTAGAGCCAGCCACACCCCTATATAGAGCCCCAAATTTCTCCAAAAACTTAAGTTCATTCTCTCCCAAAAATCCCCCAAACAATTTCTCTCTAAAATTCTAACTTTGGCATCGAAGATTCTTCGACCAAAGCCCCCCCCCCCAACTCATCTTGGGCACGTGAGGCTCTTGGCCATAATCTTAAATGTTATTATTTTGTAGGTGCATTTTCGTCAAATGAGAAGAAAGTGGAAATTTACATCCACAAGCACTTCATTGAAGTCGCAAAAAATTAACCAAGGAAAACAGCTATTATCATGAAGAGAGCAAATGAGGTCCTAGAACTTATGGCTTTCTGGGGTAGCTGCAAAGCCATAAAACACAATGATCCTCTAATGAGACCTATCACTAATAACTCTAATTTCAGCAACAATATGATGGTCAGAAGAACTCAGTATGCACAACGGTACCAAGAAGTAACGTCATTTGATGGTGTTTTTTTTTTTATCTAACCTCATCTCATGATGCTCCAAGAAGTAACCTACCATCTCCCGTTCTAGTGCTGAATCCAAATACTGATCACTCTCTCATACATGTGCTGAGACTACATGGTTATGCGCTCTTCTCACTAAACTCGACGTTTGCCATCGTTTTATAGTCCTTCGTTATTGTGACAACCTGAGCGCCACCTGCATGGATGCTAACCCAGTTTTTCATGCTCACACATGGCACATTGAGCTTGATTATCACTCTGTTCAAAAGAAGGTTTCCTTGGCAGTCATAGAGTATAGTGCTCTTATATGCTCCAAACTTGTCCAATTTGGTTGGAGGGAGGAGAGGAGCGGGGGTGTTAAATAATAGGAAAACTTAGGTTCTCATTCCTATTTTTCCTGCTTCATTCATTAAAACTTTGTTCATTTTCAATTTTTGATCAAGGTCCTTAGATTTTAATAAACAACATTAATTATTTCAATAATAAAATATTTTTTTATTTCTAAATATATTCGTTTAGTATTAGAAACGTTATAGTTGGTATATTTATATTTATGGCTAATTTTTTTATCATATATTTTTATTTTTAGTTTGTACCCATTTTTAATTTTCAATCTTTTTTTTTTATTTTGTACCAATTTTCGTTTCAATTTTATTTGTACCCATATATTAATTCTTTTTTATGCCCATATTTTTTAAACTTTATTTGTATTTGTACCCATATTTTTTAATTTATTTGAACCCATTTTTAATTTTGCTAAATGTACCCATGCTAATTATATGTATTATTTTATGTTTTAAAATATATCAATAGTTTTTTTTAAAAAATATGTTAATATTTATGTGGGTACATTATTTTTTTGCTATAATTTTTGTGAAGAACAATATTACTCTAAAATTGATTTTTAAGTATTTATTATATTTTAAAAAAATTATTTGATGTGTTTAAATTTCGTAAATTTGTGGGACATTAAATGCATAAATGTATGAATTAAATCTCTTAAATGAGGCTAAGGACCTCGATCAAAATATTTAAACAAACAAAGTTTCAGTCTAATAATTAAGTTAATTAGGGACCGGAATCAAAATGACGCTAAATAATATTTAGGGATGGGGGTTAAATAATATTTATTCTTCATAATTTTGTAGCCATTATGTGTTCCTTTCCTAGCCATTGTATGTATTATTTTCCTTTGTAGTTTCCAATGAGTCTAGAGTTTGCAACCCAATCTCCCCCACTACCTCTGCGAATCTGCGACCCAACCTTCGCCACCTCCTCCGCGATATCCACCTCCAGAGCTAGACCATATAAAGGTGAAAGATACGTATTCAGATTTTAAGATTGTCATTTGAAATATTGTTTACTTCTATGGCAACTTCTGTGTAATATGTTTCTGTTTAACTACTTTTGAATTTGGTATTTGGAGATCTTAATTTGCTGAAGACTCAGTCTTCTACTCTCTACTTCCATCTCATTGTCTTACTTTGTCATATGTTCGTTGAGGACAGAAAGAAGCACATGACTTCCAAATTGCCATCACGACTGAAGAGTAGAAAAGATACATCAATTGGGCAGCCTCAGCCATTTGAAAGACTTTCAGAGCTCATCCACACCATCCGTGTGCAAATACAGGTACACTCTTTCTTTCATCTCTTCACTTCCCAACTGTAATTTTGTGTTTGAGCGTGAGACTAAAAGGAAAGATGCAAAAAGCTTTCCAGTTGGTCATACATTCTTGGGGATGTCAATTCTAACCGTTAAACCTGTTAACCTTGAATAATCGTCCGAATGGATTAGATTTGGATATGAAAATTCGGGTATGGTTTGGATATGGGGAAAAACCGTTAACTTTATTCGGTTATGGTTTTGGATATGGTTATAAGGGTACCCAATCCATATGCGTATCCGAATCCGATCGGAATATTATATATATATATATATATATTATATTTTATTCAATTATGCCTTTTGAAGTCTTGGAATCATGCCCACAACGTATTCAATTATTCCTATTCTATAGTACTAATTCATTATGCATGCATTAAACCCTATACTATCTTTATTATGCATCAAACATCATACATGGGGCATACCAACAACCTCATCAATTCAATACTCTTATTGTTATACTCAACCAAATTAATTCATTGAATCATTTTATATATCAATTATCAAATGTTCCAAGTTTATCAGATTCATCTCTCTTCAAGAGTCTCACTATCAAGAAATTAGTGCATGTTATAAGCTCAATAGGTAATCTTTCATTTTTTTTCATGTTATTTGATTCATGCAAATTATCAATTAGCATCAGTTTTTCAGTTTATTACATATGAGCCCATAGAATTATGCAAAATTAAATCAATAATTGTATTCTTGTTCGTTGTCATATATTTAGTTTACATGTTTTATCTTCCCTTTGTATTTGTTTTTGTCCTCTTTTTCTTTTTTATTGGACCAATTTATCATATTGGCTTATCACGAACAACTTCAAATATATATTGTTATGTTTTTTGTAATTGGATGCGGCTATTTAATGGCAAAATTAGTATCTACTAAAATTTATAGTGCGTCAATTGGATGAATATAATTTTTTTTTTTTTTTGACGAAGATGGATATAACCGATAACCAATTGAAAATCCGTTACCTGGTGGATATGGTTATGGATAATTCCCGATGGTTATTTTACGGTTATGGGTATGGTTAATTTTCATGGTTATGGGGATGGATATAGCATTTCCGTCCCAAATCGAACCGTTGCCATCCCTATACATTCTGTATAGTGATGAAGAGTACCATAAATATCAAGCTGAAGGATCACATAAAATAGAAGCATTAGGAAATAGCGCCGTAAGTTTGACGAATGCATCTAATTAGGCTAATTTTATATTGAAAACTTTTGAATCGTTATTCTAAGGTATTGAGAAGGATTTGAAATGTAATAATATCGATTTATATAGATACATTTATACACATACAAAAAAGAAAAAAAAAAAAGGGAGGTCTCATTTGAAGTATGTGTTAGTTGGTTAGAGTATCTCCAAAGAAGATGTTAAAATTGCTACGTAAGCATACAACAGTAAAAAGTGGCAGCAAACTCTTTCCAACCGAGCCTTCAATTTCTTAAGTGGCGCTAAGTCATTTGAAGGTAAAGTCTTTTGCTGTCAAATTCATTAAATGATTTTTTTAATAGATTAATATAATATATAATAAATGTTGTTATGTTTTTGAAATATTTGATTGGTTGGCTTAATTATTAGACTCCACAAAAAGATAAAAAGTTTATTAAATGACATTATTATTTAACATATCAAATTGCCACATAACCTATCAACTACATTTTCATGTTTAAAATTTGAAATCTCATTTAGAGATGCTCTTAATGGTATTTTAAGTGCATCAACGTTGTGCTAATAAATCTAAAGCTAATCTTAGCTATTCAATTTGAAATATTTTAAAATGTTGAATAATTTGTCGTACTAATTAGCATCTAACATAGGTTTAAATTAAAATATTAATATTTAAAAATAATAATATATTTAATAATTGACCTTTATTTGCCAAACAATTAGATTAAAAGAAAACTAATGAGGAAGACTTGAAAACTTTGAGTTTTAATCAAAACGACAAAAAAGTGTTGTAAGTGAATAGTACCAGTAATGACTTTTTAAAGTAAATGTCATTTCCGTTAAAAGTGAACAGTACTGAGGGTTTTGTTAAAACTCCCTTAAATTAATAGCACATTTATTATGCCTTTTTTGTCATTTTACACAATTTTACATTATAACACTGGTTTTTCGCAAAAGCACTTTTACAACTATAGTTTTCCAAACACTCAATTGCTTTATTTCACAACTACTTATTTTCTCATGACACAGAAGAAGCGATTTTCTTTTTCAAAGCATTGCAATACCAAACTAGCCCACAATGATTTATATGAAGTTACCCCACTAGATCCGTCCAATGTTCGAATACATCATTTATTCATTTTTGTAAATACAGTAGGGTTATATTCAAATGTTGAATGTTACACTTACCTCATTCAACATTTAAAGTCAATTTTCCGAATTTATAGAGAATAAAACCACCGCCTATTTTCGATCAACCAGAGTAAGGCAGCCTGCAAAAGAAAATAACAAAAAAGCAGATTGATGAAGGAAAAGTAATGAACATTATTTGAGCATCTTGCTGAAGCAGTTTTTCTCAATTCAATTCTCTAATGCTATGTTTGGTTCCAAATATAATTTTTTTTTAAAATGAAATTTTTAAATACACTAAATCCAACAATTGAAATTGAATATGAGCAAATATAATGTAAAAAAAGATCTACCAACCCGAAATTAAACCAACTGCTAAAACAATTAGAAGGAAATAATTTAAATCAAAATTAACCTAAAAAACTCTATAAATATCTATATATTTGTTTGCACATCTAAATAAAATTCACTTTCATCAAACAATTTTTTTTTTCTTTTTTTTTTTCTTTTTACCTACTTATGTATTTGTGTTTAAGAATGGGATAGGTTGTGTGGTTTTTCCATGTTATATCATGTGGTGCATATGTGTAAAAAATGAGATAGGTTTAGTGATTTTTCATTATTTATCAGAATTTAAATATTTTTAAGTTAAATGTTCATAAAAATAGATTAGAATAATCTACATAAAATTTATTTTTATAAAAGTTACCAAACAAAATTAGTCTAAAATCATTTTTTAATAATTTCGAGCTAGAATTTAAGCCAAAATCATTGGAAAAAAAAAAAACTGTTTCTAGGTTAGAACCTAAATTTTATAGGCTAAAAATTTAAGTTTTAACTCCAACAATTGGAGTTGGTCTAAGCACATGAAAACTAATTGAGATAGGATGATGAATATCCATCGAAACTGAGGCATCATATAAAAAATATCAGATGACTTAAACGCACCCCAATTTTAGAGATGTATCTGAGCTGTCGTAGTCTTGAGGACCGTTGTTTGAGTTACAGGGATTGGTGACAGACTCTGATGACTGACCCTCCTCCGTAAACATGTTCTCTGAATCGACCTGAACAAGCCTCCGGCCATCAGATTTCTGCGCCACCTTCAACAAGCATACCAAGAACCCCCATTAGCAAATTAATTAAGCAAAAATCAAAACATAGATGAAGAGTCTGCAGAGAGATCTTATACTTCTTGTCTTAATCGTTCATTCTCTTCCATCAATTGCATCCCCTGCACATTCATATATATCATGTCAAGAAAAAATTGTGACAAGAACAGGCAAACAGAGAAGAGGAAATATTTGGAGGACACTATTGTCCAGACAATATTATCGAACAAATTTGAAACCTTTAATCTCGTTTCCTCAATTATTTGTTAATTTATTAGGTCATAAGATGTAGGGTAGAGCTACATGGTCAAAAGTTGAAAGGTAACTAACATTTCTTTGAAGATCACCGATCTCTTTCATGATTTTTTCACTCTGAAAAAAGACAACAAAATCCAGTTAGATAATAAACAATTATATAGAAGCAAGCCTATAGAATAAAACAGACCTTTTTCTCTATTACGCGGCCCAAGCCAGTTTCAAGGGAGTTCTCCAATTGTTGGAGTTCTTCCAAATTTAGTCCTTGAATTTCTTCTCCTCTCATCTGCCTATAGTTCAAGGAGCTTATATCATAATTAGGGACCACAAACTAGTACTTGTTTTTAAAACCAGAGATTTACAAATACCTAAGTTGATGACTTTTTGCTGCAATTTCCTTGCTCAACATGGTGTAGTTGCTGTTCTCCACTAGCTACATCAGATTAACAATTCTTTTAAGCAAAGTCAAAAACGAAAAATAGTAAAAATGTTAATTGTTTACGGTAAAGAACAAAAAGCATATCCATATAAAATTCAGCCAGTGAAGATTATCTTATATTAAGTCAGAATTAATGCAAACAATAGAGAGAAAAATTAGAGCAGGGACTTCAAATAAAGAATGCACGATAGAATGCATCTTAATGTATTAAGTTCACGTTGTTTCCTATTTTTAAACTTCAAATGCATGCAATGTCATATTCTAGCTTTACTAACAAAAAATATGGATGAACCAAAATTTACATTACTGTAGGCACTGCATGAATAAGATATAAACCATGATTTACAAATTTAGGAATGCAATAATTCCAAAAGAATTCGTTTCTTATACCGTTAAGTTCAAAACTTGTCATGCTGCAATGGCTTCAAGTCTATAAGATTCATGGTACCAAGTTCGCGATACACACAAAAAATCCCGTCATAAAACTTAAATTGCTTCTATAGAAATTTATAAGAGTTACTAAATAAAACACGTATACATTAAAAAGATGAGATCCAAGATTATAATATATCTACCCTTTTGTTCCATTGGAAGCGGACAACACAACATCACATTGATATTCATCTATTTATCGATAAATATGTTACCTATAGAGGACCAACCTGTAGCTGAAGAGATGGTTGTTCTAGTTTCTCGAGATTCTTTGAATGCAAGTTGTGCCTTTCTAGAATTTCCTTCATACTTCAGAAGAAATAGAATGAAAACAATGCAGGTCAATAGCTAGGATAGCCAGAAAGCTTCAAGACAATAGCATACAATTAAATAAAAGATAACGCATGTGAGATGGGAAAGACAATAGGAAGTTCAAATAAATATTTGGTTTCGCATTTAAAAAATGCTTCATATTTTAGTAAATACATCTCACACATTGTTAAATTTAAAGTTGCAATAATATGTTTTTCCCTTAAAAACCTTGCAGCGCGTATTAAGAATAAATTGAATAACTGATGGTAGCTATATATACAAGTTTAGAAGCAATGAAGGCTCATATAAAGTTATATGCTGATAAAATAAAGTATAAGCTGACGCAACGAGTAATGGGATAGTTAGGATCAATCATCATCGAATCCTAGAACATAAACTAAAGTCCATCAATAAACCGGAATCCACTAGAAAATACAGGAACTCTAAAGTTTAATTGATAATAATATGAATGAATATTGGAATACAACCCTAAAAATTGTTTATATAGTCTAAGCAAACCATAGCTCCAAAAGGAAAATAAAATAGGAAATAATTAAATCCCAAAGATTCATAAAATATGTAAAATGCCGAATAAAGATTTCTGTCAAACAAGTCTCGAGACTTGAAATACTGGTAATATACCCTAATTTTTGGAAAACAAGTATCAAGACTAAAAATTCTGGGATTTGTCAAATTTGACTCTTCTTTGTTTTTGCTTGTTAAGCTACTCGAAAAGCCCAGAACCTTAACTCTCCAGATATTGCAGCGGAAAATAATCTTCTGACCCTGAAATTACCAATTCTCCAATCACTTTTCTTCATTTAGCGTCGAACAATTCAATTTTTGGGCTACATCATAAGAAATGGAACAAAACCCTATAGACGGAAATTACTCGAAAATGGTTGAAGTTGAACTAGCTCGAATGGTATCTAGTCTCCTTGTTGTTGAAGGAGGTCCTAGTTCAAATTTCATGAACGAGAGTTTTCTATGATGTCAAACAAACATAAAAGGTTAAAAATTGGCTGTTAAAAGTAATAGCTGGCTGGAGTTGATTATGTACCTTCTAAGTATAATGTCACCCCATTAGTCCTGATTTACCATACTTGTATTCTTTCATCATGTTTGTATTACAACCTATGGTCAAGTTGGTTCTAACACAGGCAAAGTAAAAGGAACTAATAAATTAAAACACAACCAAACTATTAAGGATAATTAACATCCAAGAAGTATACAACAATTTTCCTTGAAGAAATCACACTAGAGAAAGAGAGAGTAAAAGCAAATGGAAGCAAGTCACTGGCAACTTAAAGAAGCACTCCAGTCATGACTGAACTAACAACACTTCTTAAGTTATCAGAAACAGCAGTAGGTTTAGACCCCAATAAATTAAATTAACAATAAAGCCTTCTTTTTAGGGTATTAATAATAAAGCCTTAATTGTTTAATGCATATATGATTTATTATTTTTTGAGATCCAACACTATAACAAACAAGACAAATAACATCCACATCCAACTTGCACTCAAATTAAGACCCTTCAATCATATATATCATTTGAACATCTAGCTAGCCTGTTTCTTCTTCCCATTCAAGTGAGTTTTCTCCTCCTTCATCTTCCCATTAACTTTATATAATCAAACTTTAGAATGATTATTAAAAAAATTACAGAAAAAAAAAAAAGAAAAAAAAGTTGTGTATGTGTATGAGTGAGAGAGTGAGAGAGTGAGAGTGAGAGAGGGAGACCTAGAGCTGGCGTATTCAAAGAGCTTTCCGGTGGAAGAAAATATGATAAGAGCAATATCGGCATCACAGAGAACGGAGAGCTCCTCGGCCTTCTTGAAAAGGCCTCTTCTCCTCTTGGAAAAGGTCACCTGCCTCGCCGTCGCGTTGTCGATCTTCTTGATCTGAATTTTCTCCCTCGCCATCTCTTAATCTTTAGTTAAATTAATTCGATCTTCCTTTCTTCTTCTTCTTCTTCTGGTTCTCCTGAAGAAAAAAAAATTAAAAATAATAAGAATATTATAGCTTTTTTTGGAATGGAATATTTTGCTTTCTTGTTAAGGCTTTAGATGTTTGAATCAGATAATATAATCAACCAAAAACTGACCAGAAAAGGCAAAGAAATTACAAGCAAATGAAGGATGGGCTTAATTGGAGAGGGACAGATCCAGTGCGAGAACTGGCGGCATGTTGCCAAATTTAGCTAAACATCTTTGGAGTATGTGGGGGCAATGGCAAACCGTCAAAGTGAAGTGCAAGTTTTCGAGACAGAGAGAGAGAGATATATATCAAAGGAGAGAAAGAGAGCCAGCATCCATCTCCATCTTTAGATTCTTAATCAGATCCAGAGTTTCAAGACCAACGAGGTTCAGAGGGAAAGAAATGCTTCCAACCAATTGGAGAAAATAAAAGGATAAAGCTAAAAGAGGTAAAGGGTTTCTTTGTTGATTAGGTGGAAAGGGGATTTGTTGATGCTTTTAAAGTTTCTTACTTACGTGGTTACTTATTTATTTACCAGTCTGAATGAATCTCGGGGAAGGGGTGTTGGTATCGGTGCCGTATTTGGATGGGTAGATAGGAGAAATTTTTTATTCTAACGGAAACATGAATGGTAAATTATGTATTTTTATATAAGTGGTGAAAAATTTTATATTTTAAATTATTAACTTTTTAATAAATATATCTTACCATTTATATAGTAACACGCGATGTATTATCCTATGTGACGGTCAAAAATCTCTCAGTAGACAGTTCACAGAGCTGTTGGTACTGAATAAGCCACCAGTGAGAACACTGAGAAGTGGGAGAGAGAGAGAGAGAGAGAGAGAGAGAGAGAGAGAGAGGAATGTTTGTGGAAGTGTGGAAAAAGAAAATACTTTTTATGGTGAAGCAAAACTATTCTCTTTTTCCATGTTTTACCGTTTAGTTGCTGTTAAAAGGTTTAACGATGGCCAGAAACTCAAATATTGAGCTGCAGGGAAACAGTAAGATATGATGGAAAAAGCAAGATAATTTTTTAGACTATATTTTGTAAAAAGTAAATTTTCAATTTAGTTCAGAGAAAATTGAAAAGTAACCAAAATTTGAACTTTATTTAGAATTATAGTCACTATTTAAAGACTGATAATTATAACCAAAATTTGATATGAAAGTACTAATTTATCCTGAACAACTAAAATCATCCTCTTTCTGGTCTTAACTATGAACGAAGTAGTAGTTCTGTCGTACCAACTAGAGCAGTGATGGCGCCGATGAGGAGAAAGAGCTCTTTGTACAAAATACCAAACATTTTGTTTCATTATACTTCAATGGAAGAGGAGGAGGGTCTGGTGAAGAATGGGATTGACAATCTACTAAGAGTGGGAGGGCAGTGTAGGTAGCAGCTGTGGAAAATTGGATATGGTGGTTGTGAGGCAGGGCGGGGCGGTGAAAAATCTAAGTGCCCTTTGAGTCTGGCTGATGCTCTTGCCACCACGACACCCAAACGTCACTGCCACCGCAACCTCTTGTATTAACATCGATCTTCTCCTACTATCCTCCAACGCCCAAATACGAACCATTTCCTCCTCCTCTTCTTCTTTAACAGTATGAAAATTCAATCTCCCCCACAATATTCCTATTCATTTTCTTCTAGTATATGTATATATATCATATGTGTCTGTGTGGATATATAGATAAGTTTTAGCTTTAAATTATGTGTCCCTCACATGCAATATTGCTCAGGTAGGAACCCATATATGTTGTACTAAAGTTGTAGAACAATTAAAGTTATGGCGATGGCTAAGAAGACCCTCAGAATTACAGACCCTTGTTCAAGAATTTAAGTCATTAAGAACAAATTAGCACTTTCATATCACATTTTGGTTAATAATATCATAAATTTTGAAAAGTGATTATAATTCTATACAGAGTCCAAAATTTGGTTATTTTTCCAAATTTCCCATTTAGTTCCTAAATTATTATCTTAGTGAAAATTAAGTTTTAAACTATTTTTTCAAAAAAAATAGTCCTTAAATTATAAAAATCTACCAATTACATCCCTAATATTATATTTGAAACTACAATATTCAATTTTCCATCAATTTAAGACACATTACTTGCATTTGATACACATAGAGGGTAGATTGGTATTTTTTTCATAAAAATATAATGTATGGAGTTAACTTTGGAGGGTAAATTAGACGTTAGATTTGCAACCTATATGAAATGTTAAGGGCTTATTGTGACATCCCATATCGCCTAGGGGAGTGATCCTTATATGTATATTTTCATCCCTACCTAGCACGAGGCCTTTTGGGAGCTCACTGGCTTCGGGTTCCGTAAGAACTCCGAAGTTAAGCGAGAAGGGAGCTAGAGCAATCCCATGATGGGTGACCCACTGGGAAGTTGCTCGTGAGTTCCCAAAAACAAAACCGTGAGGGAATGGTAAGCCCAAAGCGGACAATATCGTGCTACGGTGGTGAAGCAGGCCCGGGAAGTGATCCGTCCCGGGCCGGGATGTGTCAATTGGTATCAGAGCCTAACCCTGGTCGTGGTGTGCCGACGAGGACGTCGAGGCCCTAAGGGGGGTGGATTGTGACATCCCACATCGCCCAGGGGAGTGATCCTTATATGTATATTCTCATCCCTACCTAGCAAGAGGCCTTTTAGGAGCTCATTGGCTTCGGGTTCCGTAGGAACTCCGAAGTTAAGCGAGAAGGAGGCTAGAGCAATCCCATGATGGGTGACCCACTGGGAAGTTGCTCATGAGTTCCCAAAAACAAAATCGTGAGGGAATGGTAAACCCAAAGCAGACAATATCGTGCTATGGTAGTGGAGCGGGCCCAGGAAGTGATCCGCCCTGGGCCGGGATGTGACAATTATAGGTGAGAAAATGACAGTATTACACTCTAAAGTGTGTCAAGTGATTTAAATTGACAAAAAATTGGATAAAATAGCTTTGAATATAATAGTACGGATGAAGTTAACACTTTTTTAATGAATTTAGGGACTTATTTTATAGAAAAATAAATTCAGAGACCTAACTTTTATTGAGATGCTAGTTCAGGGACTAAATCGGAATTTCACCCATTTGTAAACTATGTAATGTGACGTTCATGGTTGAATTTCATTTTGAGTAATGCTAGTGACACCATCTACTTGAAATATATTTTGTAGACCACATAATGTGGGGTTGATGATTGAATTTCTTCTTTAAATCATTAAAAAAAAAATTCAACTATCAACAGCTACATCATATGATCTACAAAATATAGCCTAAAAATGCGGGATCTCTAGCATCACCCAAATTTAAAATACTTATGTAGTATTTAACTGGCTGTGCTAAGTGACACTAACAATCACTCAAAATTTGTTAAGTGGTAAGTTCTGAGTATAATTTGTTATCACATAATTGTATTTAAAGTTCTCATATTTAGATTAACATATACCGCTAGATTCATCTCGCATCAAATGTTTTTTTTCCTTCCACCTACTCCATTTCTTATCATAATTTCCTCTCGATTTATGCTTAGTCGTATAATCTTCTCAGATATCAGGGTATTTCTATACACAAATTATGGACGACTTTTGATACTGGAGGTTTATTCCTGAAATGTCCAGATTAATGATTTCTCTATTGAACTAAGTCTACAATTTTTTGATGTACTAACATAAGTACTCTTCAAAACATAAAATAGGAGTATTTTTTATATTATTGTTTCTTTGCCAAAAAAAATAAAACCATATTGACGTCAAGTATATTTTTCTAAGAACTGCGATTTCTTTAACGTCTCATATCGTAAAGGGTAAATTACATTTTCATACCTCAGGTTTGGGGCCTATTTCAATTCCTTACAATATCTTCAAAACATTTCACTTTCCTACCTCAAGTACTATTTTATTTCAAAATAATACCTCCGTCATATTTTCCATCCATTGATCCGTTAAGTGCTGACGTGGCTGCCACATATTTGCCACGTAGCTGCCAAATATCTGGCACGTGGCAAAAAAAAAAAAATTATTTTATTTTTTTAAATCATGAATCTTCTGAAAAAAAAAAAAAAAATACCAAAAACAAAAGCTAAACCTGCACCCCCCAACCCAACCTGTAACCCAAAGAAGAAGAGAAGAGGGAAAAAAAAAAAAAAAAAAAAAAAAAAAAAAAAAAACCCATCTTTCATCTTCCTCCCCTTCCCATCTTCCCCAAACCCACTGTGCACCCACCCTCCACCTCCTCCTCTGCACCCACTACCTGCAACCTAGAAAGAAAAAAAACCAAAAACCCAGAAAAAAAAAAAAAAAAAAACTCTCTATTTCCATACAACCTAGATCCCGTCTTCCCCAATGAGTGTGGATTTAAGGAGTGGGTGTGTAGAGGAGGGAAGAGGGTGTGTGCGAGGGTGGGTGCGGAGGGTGGGTGCGCTGGGTTTGTTTTCTTTTTCTTCTTTCTAGTTGCAGGTTGGAAGGGGGAAGATGGGAAGATGGGTGCGCGAAGGAGGTGGAGGATGGGTGCGGAGGAGGAAGTGGAGGATGGGTGCGAACGACGGATGGAAGATGATAAGGGTCCGACACTGCGGGGGAGAGGGGTTTGACGGGATCTGAGGAGGAGGGTTGCGGGATCTGGGTTTTCTATTTTATTTTTTTCAGTTGAAGGTTTACGTATTGGGGGGGGGGGGTTTCGGCAGGTGGAAGGGGGGTGGGTGATGGGATCTAGTTTTCCAACTTTTTTTATTTTTATTTTTATTTTTTATTTTTTATTATTATCTGGGTTGCAGGGAAGAAGATGAAGATAGGGAGGTGGGTTTAGGGGTTGCGGGGAGAAGAGAAGAGGGTGAGGGGGATAAGGTTGAAGTTTTTTTTTTTTTTTTTTAAATATTTAGAAGATTTAGGTTTATTAAAAAAAATTAAAAAATTATTTTTTTTGCCATGTGGCAGACATTTGGCAGCCACATGGCATAGATTTGGCAGTCACGTCAGCATTTAACGGATCAATGGATGGAAAATGTAACGGAGGTATTTTTTTGAAATAAAATAGTACTTAAGGTATGAAAGTGAAATGTTTTGAAAATGTTATAAGGAATTGAAATAGGCCCCAAACCTGAGGTATGAAAATGTAATTTACCCTATCGTAAATGTTGAATAAATTAGTTGGTTTTTCCCCTTGCAATTATAAGTAAAAAATGTCACATCCTGGCCCGGGGCGGATCATTTCCTGGGCTCGCTCCACCACCATAGCACGATATTGTCCGTTTTGGGCTTACCATTCCCTCATGGTTTTGTTTTTGGGAACTCATGCATAACTTCCCAGTGGGTCACCCATCATGGGATTGCTCTAGCCCCGTTCTCGCTTAACTTTGAAGTTCCTACGAAACCCGAAGCCAGTGAGCTCCCAAAAGGCCTCGTGCTAGGTAGGGATGAGAATATAATATAAGGATCACTCCCCTAGGCGATGTGAGATGTCACAAGCCACCCCCCTTAGGGGCCCGATGTCCTC